GGATTGTGCGCAGGATAAAAATTTCCAACCAGTTGTAGTATTTTCCAATATGTGTTTGCTGCTGTCTGCTAGCTGATCCAGGGATGGTTCTGGTGGCTTGCTCAGCTTGGCCTCCTTTCTTAACTGATGGCGATCCTCCCAAGTCATTGGCGGCTCTCGTTCCATTGCATCCATAGTAGATTGGGTGATACGCTGTCGTGCTAGCTGGCCAACTGCTCTGGCCCATTCGTAGCAGCTGGGTTGTGCTGCTGGGATAGCATGCTCCTCCGCTGCAAGGCCAGCTCGGCGGTCAGCCTCTCGGTTACCGATCCATGCCCACTTTGGTACCTGCCGCTCAAGCGATTCTTCCAGGCTGAGGTGGCGGCGCATATGCTTGATCACGATATCATTGTGATCTCCACCTCGCTGCTGGATAGCCTGATCCTTCTCCAAATATCTCCATTTCCCTTTGGGTACCCCTTTGCAGAGAATCTCTGGGTATACCATCCGCGGCAAAAGCACTGCAGAATCCGTCCAATAGATAACCCCCCCAGTGGAATGTTGTAGGATGTGCAGCAGCGCCCAGAGCTCAGCTCTGTTGTTGGATTGCCTCGGTCCAGGCAGTGGCCCTCTAGCTGCCGCTGCAACTTGTTCTCCCATCATCTGCACCCATCCCCATCCGCATCGGCGGTATCTTCTGTCACTTGACATTGCGCCTCCGCTGCCATCGCCGCAGAATTGCAGTGGGTGGTCGGGTCCTGCACGGATGACTCCTTCTGCCATGTTTTCCTCGATGTCCGCGGGGTCAGTGTCACACGGAGGTGGGCCAGTCATGGGTTTGGGCGTGATGCCTCGTAACCAAAATGCAGAATTTGTAGCCTGGATGGTCCGTTTTGTGGTAGATGACGTGTTCTTTCCTGCATCGGCAATTTCCCCAGATGCGGTGGTAGTCGTCCTCTATGGCTCCGCAGTCGCAGAGCTCGCTGGTGCCGCATGCGTCTGCAATACGTTTCTGTGTCCACGTCCCTGCGCACGCTGCTGTGAGGAGTGCGCCATGCCTTTGGTGTTTGCCTTTCCTTTCCAAGCCGCGCAAATGTCGGATGAGGTCATCGGGGTCGGCTCCATGGTCTAGACCGCTGCCGTTGTGGTGTTCGCTGGCTGCTTTCCATTGTCTTAGCTCTACTTGCGCTACGATCGTGTCGATGACCTCTGTGGGGTCGCCGTCCGCGTCCTCAGGTTTGGACTGCCATTCGTCACCAGTTGGGTCGATCCATCTGTCGGCTTCTATCGGGTTCCAGTTTAGCTCCCATGGTGTAAGAATAAATGAGCCCATGATACCTCGTTGTGCTTGCCACCTCTTGCGCTTCTCGGTATTCTGCAGCTTGGACTTCACTATATTCCAGGCTCTCTTGATGCGGTTCTGGACTCCACCCCCTGGTGCCCATAGATCGAACCAAGATTCTAGCTCTGTTCTAACAGTGGTAGCTTCGGGGCCCGTGCCTTCAACCGCAATCAAAGGTGTTAAGCATCTGCCTGGCCATGCACGCCGCAACGCCTTGGCGTGGCGTCGTCGCGTAAACAGCCTCTCGTTCGGTGAAGCTCCATATACTTTAGATCCATAAAGAATGGAGGCCATTGCACCTTGTTGTAGTAGCCCTCGTACTCGTCGCTTCTCGGCTTTGCGGAATTTTCACCCAACAAGTGCCATGCGACTCCAAGCTTTCTTCTTCCTTTTGGGATGCGTTTTCCTGCTGGTACATGTCTCACCCGCTCTGTCAACTCCCAGGTCTCTGCCTTCGGTGTCGCGGTCGATCTGGATGTTGTGGCTGCTGAGGGCTTCGACGATCTGCTTGGTAGCGGCGGGGTCGCTGGCCATGATCACCGACGTAGTCGCTATGTCTAATTCTTGCTTCTTGAGCTCATCGTGCAGGACGATTGTGGAGTCGATGGTGATATGCTTGATGGCCTCCTTTTGTGCCGAAGGTCTGTGCCCCGATGTCATCGAACCACGTCCTTGGCTGGGTCTTCGTGATGCGGCTGCTATACTGTCTCATGACGAAATATACCAAGGCCTGGCGTGCTCCTGCTAGTATGGGCTTGTCCGCGTATAAGGGTAGACTGTAACAATTTTCCCATCTCAAGAATCTCGGTGTGAGGTGTAGCTGTAATGATAAGGCCAATATTCGTACAGGAAATCCAAACTCCGCTGCTGATCGGGCGATCTTCTGAAAGCTAAGCGAGTCGTAAAACCTCTTGATGTCCAGGAGTGCAATCGCGGTATGGATGGAGAATGCCTGCGCCACCTCATCTCACAGGGCTCTGACCATTGCCTCTCGTAGGCGACTGTTGCCTGCGACTGCTGCGTCCCATGGTTCCCCGACATCTTTGGCCCAGGTTCGAGCTCGGTCTCGATGCATGAGCCCCCATGTCCGTCCTAGCCACGGTAATAATGCAAGCGCCCTGTCTCATCCATCTGCAACTGCTGAGTCGACTTTGTTGGTGGAGGGTTTGGGCTGCAACA